AATTAACAAGTTTTTAATTTGTTAATTTTTTTTTTTTTTTTTTTCTCTAATATTTACATTCAATATTCGCTTTTCATTTTCATTAAACTTTGTTAAATAATCTAATGATACTTCCTATTTTATGGCAAATTATTTTGAATGTTTTTTGGCTGAGATTTCAGGAATTGAATTAATGTACAGTAGAATTTTAATAATGCTTGGACTTATGGCTAGCTAGATATTAATTATATTTATAGGATTTTAAATATTGTCAAAATATTAAAAAACTAAATTTCATAGCAGAATTAACTCAATTAAATGTTTATATTTATATATAAATGATTGTGTAAAATTGGACACCAAGAAATATAATTTGGAGATCCTATTTGTAATAGTATTTAATAATATACTATTAAGAATGTTTCATATCAAATAGAGATCTTTTGGTGTTGATTATTCAGTTCATTTACTGATAAATCTTATGATAAACCTGAAAATCCCATATATATAAGTAATAATTATTAATTGTAAGTTTGCCATAATACTTGGCATGCATAGAAAATTTACCTTAATGCATTAATAGATAATAGAATAATTAAAGTGAATGCTATTAAAGAATTAAATAATTTAGAAAATAATAATCAGAATGTTTCGATGATTGCGATATAAATCTTTTATTAGCTTACTGTATTGCATGTTAAGATTAAATAATTCTTTCCTTAATTTCAGTAATCCAATTGAACATATGTGCTTACGAGTTAAATTATCTAGATCATAAGTAGTACTATGATATATTTAATTAAAAAATGTTAAACATTGATAGCAACCAATATAGATAATATTTTATCTAATAAGATTTACAATTATCTGAATTAGTTAATGGTGTGATTCTTGTTTAAATTAAAAAAGGAATTGCTTTTTTTTTTATTAATTAATCAAGACTCTTGTGAAATATGAATTAATAAGAAATATAAATTCTTCAACTTGTTATCTTAAAATTGTATATAAATATAAAGTTATTATATAAATTCTCTATTATGATTTTTTAATCTTTAAATCTGATAGAATTTATAATCCAAAAAAAATTAATGTTAATAGATAAACTTTATGACCATCATTTAAAAAGGAGATTAAAATAAATTCAAAGATTCAATAAGACTTGTAAGATTAAAATACCTTTATTAGATATTTAATTTAGGAAAAATGCTTGCTATTTAAGATTCATGTATAAATTAAGTTTGCAGAATTACATTAACCTAGTAAAATCAATATTCTAAAATCAAATTTGGCTTTATAAATATAGCAAAACTATACTCAATCTTTTGCTTCAATAATTCTCTTATTTAGTAGTATTGCTTGGATTAATAGAATAGGAAATTTAATACTTATTTTACCATTTCATCTACTGCAAATATGAATCTGATAATTAATAAACTTCTTGAAACATAAATCATACAAGAATTAACCAAAATTTTCTAACTTCAAAGAGTGTTTGAATTACTAAATTAATTATTGAATTATTATAATTGAGAATTTAATTAAATTTAAAACTTAATTTGAATTTGGTGCCTTTGAAAGATTTACAAAATTTAGTCAAACCAATAAGTTTAATAAAGATACCTTTATTTAATAATTTTGTAAGTTATGAACCTAATTAAAGGAGAGTGAGAGAATAAAAATAGTAAAACTTATCGATTGCAACAAACTTTATTGAATAAGCCATATATGGTTGAAATTATCAAGATTCAAAGAAAAAGATTAATAAAAACAATATAATCTAATAGAGCAGATAATTAAGAAATTTGAGCTTCAAAACAATCCTACTATAAGTAAAGATTTTCCAAATAAGATCATGATTCAAAAGTCTTCAAATGAAAAAGCAATCAGAGGAGTTATCGAGAACTTATTTATAAATTGAAGGAATGTTAGTAAACAATAAAATTCACAATCATTTAATGGATATTCAAAAAGTCTTTAAATGGTTGATGTAACTACAACCAGACAAGAAATCCTCATAGTATCTTTAATTTTAAGAATATGTAGAACTAGTACTTTTTAAAAAAATAATGAAATAACAAGAAATCTAATAGGAAATTCGTAGAATATTTATTCACTGTTCTTTATAAACAACGACATAGTTAAAAGATTAAATAATTTAAAGCTTGTTCATATGTTTCAATTGCTTATTTATACTTCTTCATCAATGTTAATAAATCACCTTTTAATATTATTAAAATTACCTTTATTTTATAAGCTTAAGTATTTGTTGAGTCAACTGCTATTGACTTGTTATAACTTATTAGAGCTTCATCATATTTACCGAGATTTTTTAGCTAATAATTTAATCATTTATGATCTAATGAAGAACTTATTTAAATAAAATCAAAGATAAACCTTTATTATTATAGGCCATGGAATAATTAGGATCTAGTTGAATAGCCATATCATAATATGTTATTGCATCTCTATATTTCCCCTGAATATATAGTAAATTTCCTAATTATTTTAACATTAAAATCACCCTTCAATTAAGCTGTTAGATTAAGAAGATTTTCTTAAAATTTGATTATTAATAATTGAATCTAACTAAATCCTTTAAGAACTTTCCTACACTTAGTGTGTTTCATTGGATCAGCAGCACATTGTAGACAAAACTAAGATCTTGAATTTATGAATCAAAATTTAAGCAAATACCTTAAATATTATCATTTTCGTGGGAGATATCTTATCAAGTAAAAAATTTCTGCGAATTCATTCAATAAATATTTATTTATTATAAATTTAGTCTATGCTTATATAAAAATAATGATATTGCAAATTATATGAACTACAGAGAAATTTTTGAGATCTGCAAGCCCTTTTTAAGGCAGATGCAGAAATAGTACAGAATCCTTAATTTTATAACAATTAAACAATTGATCATAAATACATATCGGTTTGATTCAAATTTTATAATCTAAATTTATAAAGGAGATGTTATATTTAGTTAGAAAATTTAGATTAAGACCTCATTACACTTTAATTTCAAGGTTTCAAGATTCTGATCTATATATCATAGATTGATTTATTCCAACTTACTAACAAGTATCCATCTTCACTCAATGTTCCCAAAAGCGATTCGCAACTAAATTCTATCGCTTAAGCCAAAATGCACTCAAATTTTGTTGAAGTTACAAACTTTAATTGTACTAAATTCAAAAAATGACCATTTTTAATAAGTAGGATTTGCTTAGAAGGAATGTATTGTTAAGGTGACTAACTAGTACATCTTTAGCAACTACATGATACTGTAATTTTTTTATTTAGAGTATATTGTCCAGAAATAGATTCAAAAATAAATAAGTGAAGATTTGTAGATCCAATCCAAGATCTATTAATAATATTAACAGGTTAAAATGAAAATACTTTGTCGTTTATAAAGGTTAATCTATGTTCCCATTTATCAACGCTTATTCTTTGTTTAACTTCCCATTCCTTGTTTTTTTCTCTTCCATAATCAAAATTAAATTATCCCAACCAGAAGATATTAATTTATTACCATTTTAATTTATCGATAAAGCCCAAATCCAATTATTATGCTCAAGTATTGTTTATGAACAAAGCCAGGATGGGTTTTGAGACCAAATTTTTATTGCTTTTTCTTTAGAACCATACATAAATTTGTCTTCATAGGGGTGTATCACTAAATATATGGTAGAATTTCCTTTTAATTTTATGATATATTTTGCATTTGATAATAAATTCAATGACCATATTTTAATGGATTTATTTTCAGACCCTATGACAAATTATTTCCTATTCTAGAAAATATTGAGTGTGATATTATGGTCATGAGTTACGATCTGTTACATTTTCTTTAATTATTCCTTTTTTATTGAATAAAAAGTGATGTCTTTAGAACATGTAGTAACTAAGAGATTTTTTTCCTTATTGAGAGCAATAGCATTAAGACAATTAGCAGTTGTTTTTATTTTTGGAGTGTGAAGTTAATAACAAGTAGTTGTCAATGTTGATTTTGGTTTAATAAAATTTGATCCCATTTAATAAAATAAGAATATTTATTTTTGAGAATTAAATTTTTTAAGAATTATAATAACAAAAATGAAAGTCAAAAATAAAGCCTTATACTCTATTAGCAAAAATTAATGAAATGATAGAGAATATTTCAAATAAATTAGAGGAGAATCATTAAATTATGAGTTTTAAGAATATTTTTTCAGAATATCAAAAAATTGTTAATTTAATTATTTTTTCCATTATTAGAAGTTTTTATGAATAATTTATACTCTAATTTTTCAATCTTTCTTTAAATATCTACTTTAAGAGTTCAATAAAGTTTTATATATTTTAATTTATATTTTACTTAAAATAATTTTAAATTTTATTTATCCTTAAAATTTGAATATAAAAAACTCAATTACTATTTGTCAAAAAAATTTTCTAGCTTCTATTCTTCTGATTATCAAATAAAATTAAATTTATAATTAAATTTTTTTTTTTAACAAATTAAAAGAGTTAATCAAGTCAATTCAAGAACTTTCTAAATTGTAAAATTGATATTTCAATTTAAAAAGGTTTTTTAATATTTTCCTAAGCCAAAGTTCTTTTCAAGAAAATTATATTATTTAAATTAAATTGAATGAATATAACATTTAAATTTAATCTATTATGACATTATTAAGCATTAATTTAGGTAAATTTATTATTTAAAATTAGAATTAATCACAATACTTTCTATAAAAAAATCTTCGATAGTTTCCTAGATTCATAAAATTTTTATCAATTGATAATAAATTATTCTCTATTAAATCTATAGGAATAGTAAATTTATTGAGCCTTTTTCAGTAGATGTGATATCAAAAATCGAACTTTATAAAGCAAGAATTTGAGAAAATGTGCAATTTATACAAGTAATACTTTGTAATGAAAATTATCATGCTCGTCCAATATTTTTGATCTATAAAATTTAGAAAATAATTTCATTTAGATTTTATAGATTTAGACTCTCGTTAACTTACAGTTCATAATATTAGCCCATAATTATTAAGATAGAAAGTTGTGGCTATTTATAGTATAATTTAAAAATATAAAATCAGTAAAATTAATGTAATAAAAACATTTGTAGAATGAGTGAATGCTTTATTTTTACAAAACAAATTTACAATGGTTTTTAAATTTAATGATGAGGAGACGTACAATAGGCTATCTGTTTCACTTATTGCTGTTATTAATATAAAAATGGAGAAAATTTTCTTAATATTAAATATTTTAAAGTGAAATATTTATAATTTTATCTGATTCTATAATTAATAAAGAAATAAGATTAATTAAAATTGATTAAATAAGAACATTTTGAGTAAAGGTAACCTTAGTTATCTCAATCTAACGAGTAACATATGTTAAATTTGATTAACTTTGATTTATTTATAAGCAAATCAATACTCAGAAAATTAAAGATTGGTATATTTGAAATGGTAATAAATATAAACTAAAAATATTTGGTAATTTATTTTTTTTTTTGGCTAATAAACAAATTAAGGATGAAGGAGATTTTGTATGGAATTTTGATTTTTGATATTTAAGTATTTAGAAGATTTGTGTTTTCAATTATTCTAAAATTTTCAAAGCCAATTATTAAGTGAGTTAGTTAGAAATGTTGAAAATATAAAAATTATATTGGAAGTTAATTAATAGAGTTTATTAAATATCATAAAAAGAATACATTTATATGAAAACTGATAAAACATCTTAAGATAAATTAAATAAAGTAAAGTATTTTAAAGATCTAATTCAATTTTAGATAATTTTAAGAATGCTGATTCTATATACAATATATAAATTATCATAATTTTGTTATTTAAATTATTCCCTAAACTTATTTTGATTAAAAATTAAATAATGAGTAATTGATAAAGGCAGTATTTTGCATGATAACATTATTCAAAATGATTTTACAAATACTTCTGCAATAAATAAGGATTCAATACTCTAAAATGCACTTTAGCTAATGGAAAAATTAGAAAGTATCAAATCAATTTTACTTACAATATTGGAATATGAGAATTAAACTGATTTCTATTTAATCAAAATTTTTGGATGATATATTGGTAAATAACAAAAATTATAAATATTTTTATGATTAAAATATTAATTCTACACTTGCATTAGAAAACATGATTCTTAAGGATCTGAAAAGTAAAATAATTGTTAATGAATCTATTCCAATTTAACTGCAATATTAAGTATTTATCAGTAATTCATAATTTCTATAAATCTTATAAAGACGAAATATCAAAAATAAATTTATCTCTGCAATCTTAATTGTTACAGCATCTCACAATTTCAGAATACTGTTCTAAAAAATGAAGGATCCTAATATGATTTAAGACATTTTTTAGTTTAAATATAATTTTATTTGAAGATGAATTCATATTATTTGATAATTTATTAGATGAAGAATAAATTATTTACTATATATTTATTGATTTTTTAGAATTATATTTTTGATCATAATTTTGAAATAATGATCATAATCTCATTTATGTCTATGTTTATCTAAAGATTAAGTTTATTCTAAAAAATGAATAATATTTAATATTTTTAAAACAATTACTTAATCCTAAAATATTCAATTCTAAATATATATTTATAAATTAGTCTTATTTTATAAATTTCAATCAACTTCATCCTCAAAACAATATTCGTCAGGAGAACAAAGATATGATTATAGTTCAATTTAGAAATAGATATCTAGATGAATTTTGATAACATCGTTATTTTAATGTATAATACCAGTATGCTCGGTTTTTGGAATTGCTTCAGAGCAGAAATTTATTTTTTTTAAACTCTCTAATAATACCTTGCTCTATATTTAACATAAAATAATAATACTATTTACATTATATCAATTTTTAATTAATTATCTTTATTAGATGAAAAAGAATTTATTTTATAAATGTATTTTAATGCTTAATTTAAGAAGTCATTATTATAATGTTGTTAACTATCAAAATTTTAAAGTTCCCTATTTTATAGATAATATTTTTACTTTTATCTCTTTTTTAGTATTTCCTTATAGACTGCAATTATTTAAGTCATCCAACCGTGAAAATATAAAGCTTAAAGTAAAAATGTAAGTAATTCGCCCAAACTTAATTCATCATGAATTGCACCTTCCACAGTAAATTCAGGTGCTGACAATGTCTATTATTAAATTTGCCTCATTTATTTAAAACTTAAAGGTATAAATTATAAATTTAAGTAATCATTAATTTATTATTTAATATTATTTGCTAATTATGCAATACTAAATAAACCATTAATTTCAGAAGGTTTAGAGATATATTTTTATTTATTAAATAATCTAAGCATCATAATAAGTGGTCTATAAACATCAATATCGAGTTAATTAGCTTCTATTTATTTATGTAAATCCCCCCAATTAATAAAATTCATTACCATATCAATACAAACCCTTAATTTCTATTTAAGTTTTTATGCTGGAATCTAAATGTTTTTAAAAGCTTCATTGTTGTAAGCTAACTATTTTGCTAATTCATACTTTATAATTTCTTTCTTATGAGGGATATACCAATATTTTTCAACTCTAACAATCAATATATTATTACATAGTCTTTAAATATTTACACACTATTCTCAATTTGAATGTATCTATAATACCTAAGAATGGTAATATATTATTCATAAGTAATGAAGATGGAATAAGGCTAATCATTGAATTCTAATTTAAAAGAGCAATTTTTTCTATTTCATAAGATCTAACCTCAATACTAATATTCTTAGGTAGCTAAAAATGTAAACTTTAACCTTCAACGTCATACTTATAACATTATTTTAAGTATAAATATGGAAATGCCAAAATTTTATATATTTCAAAGGACATTGACTAAAACTATTATATTAATAAAATAGAATTTACATGATCCTCATTTTAAAATCCCTATTACCTAATTAGATTTAATTAGGTTTTCAAAACCTAAGAAGGTTCAATTTTGAAATTCTCGAAAATGCCTTATCCTTTCAAAGTTGCTTATTAATCATCAAAGTTTTTCAAATGTTCTACTTCCTCAAGACTTAATTTCTCTTTAATTTTATCAAAGTAATCTTCTTTTGTTATATCTTTTGTTATATACAAACTTCTTTTTGGACTTTTTATAATTTTCATTACTTAATATAACTGTGACATTTTAACTTTATCACCAAAATCATGAATAAGGTTAGGTTTTTCAGATAATTAAATTTGCAATTTTTATATTATTTAATTAAAATGCTGCTCGTTTATTTTTTTTAATTATTCAAAGTCTGTAACATCATCAAAATCCGATAAAACCTCTGAAAAGAATTTATGACAAGTTTTTTCTAATTCTTCTTTATGAATCAATTTATCAATTGGAAATTTTTCTATTTCAGTAATTAACTAGCCTATTTGTTTTGCTGATTATATTTAATGCTTAGAATATGGGATATTACGCCAAAAATAATTTTATGGTTAATTAGGCTATTTATTTCTATTTTCATTATGTTGCTGTTATGATTTTTAAGAATAATTTTATTATTATTGGTTAGGTTTTTAATGGCTCTATTAAAACATATAAAAAAAAATAATTAAGAATTTATGTATATTTAATATCTACATATTAAAATTAAATTTAAGTTTTTGATTCGTATGATATTTTTCATTCTTTATATATTTTAATAGGAATATAGTAAAAATATTTATTTGTTATTTTGATACATTATTATGTCAATTACTTTAACTATGTTTATTATTACATAATAAAATTTAAAGAAAGTATCATTAAATTTTAATCACATTTGTATAAATATCACTGGAATAGGTTGTAATATATTTAGAATTCATAACTAAACATTCTCTTTCATCAAAGGTTTTTTTTAAGATAATGAAATCTCCTTTCCATTAATATCTAACTGCTAGAGAATTTTAATATATACTCATATACTTCAATGTTACATGTGAATGAATGTTAAGGGATCCAAATAATTCAGATTTCTCTTTTGGGCGTGTTCTCTAAATGGAAATCATTATTTCTAATTTTTATGTAATCTAACTTATCCATGAGGAGGTAAGTTAAGCAAATCATCAGCTAAAACAGCATAGAGTCCATGCTTGTATGATTCAATATAACATATGTATCCAGACCTTATTGAAGTGTTTCGTAAGAACAATTTATTTTTCTATTACTGGTGTTTTCAACCAGATGCTTACTATTGAATATATTTTTTGGAATTAGATTTAAGTCTTTTGATCGTTAAATTATCAAAGTTCTATGTAAAAATTCATTTTATCCTGATAGATTCTTATTTTCCTCTATCTATTCTTAATTACAACCTATAATAGGTTTTATTTTAAAATAAAGTCAATATTCTCTCTCTCCTATTAAATTTATTTTCTCCTTATTTCTTTCCTAAAGTCATCCTTTTTCCTATCTGATCATATTCATCTACCATTATAATTTCTGAAATCCTTATTATACAAGTGCTTCCTATATTACTTAGCTTTAACATCCTATGACAATTATAATACCTAAATTTATTGGAATGTTTAAATTAAAATCCACTAATTATGATTTTTAAAAACATCTTTTACTTAAATTGTAGAAGGAATATAACATCAATTGATAACTATCAATGTAGTTATATCCATAAATCTATTCTATTAAATTTATTTTTATTTATTAATTAACTAATTTTCTTGCTTAATATTAGAATATACTTCAATAATGCTTTTATTTGAAAACTTGACTCTTTCTTCAATATCAATTTAATTTCTTCCTTTTTTTATTTATATCCAAAGATTATCAATCCACAAATAACCATGATTGAATTGAATAGAAGAAAAAAAAATTATTAAAATAATAGGAATTGTATTTTCTTTATTTTAATTGTGAAAAAATAATAATTAAATGATTATCTTAAATCGTATGAATAAAATCTTTAAATTGCTTTTTATTTAAGATTCTTAAATTTATAATTTTGAATATATTTCTTAATTATACTATACTAGTTAATTTCTTTATGATAAATATATGTTTTATGACTTCGCGCTGAATAAATCAATTTTCTATATGAAAAAAGTTAAGCACCTCTACTAATTAATTAATATTTCCCTTTGCTTGATTTAAACTAAAAATGATATTGAGGTAATTCTTATAGAAAAAAAAATTCTAAATGAAAATAATTAGTTTGATAAATGATTGTTTGGGAAACATTAAGCTCCATACATTTATCAATCTAGGTTTGAATAGAATTACTTTTATATAATCAAATCATGCTCTTTTATCTTAAAACATACAAATGTTTGAAAAATAAAGCATCAAAACATAAAAGAATATAAAAATAATATAATATTTTCTTATATATATTTACTAGAATCAAAAGCTGTAATATGCTTAAATTTTTATTATCAACATATGTTCAGACAAATTGTTTCCTGCTTTGTTATAAAATCTTACTTTCGAAACTAATTAATCAGTAAACTTAACAGTGCCCACAATCACTCCAAAGGATTTTTCTTTGTATTTAATTTCTTTGTCCAAAAATATTTTTTTATAACTTAATCTAAATTCTAAATAAAATCTAATTAATTCTACCATATTCCAGGTTATACAAGGCCATCAAATATCTAAGTTTCTGATATTCTATCTTATCCCACTGTAAAAATTTGTATATCAGTGATCCTGGCATCATGGTCATACATCCAAAACCTCACCCTATTTATTTCATAAGCTTATAAAATTCTATAATAACCTACCCATGTAGAGTTACACCCATATGTCCAACTTGTGTAGTCGTTGGACTCCTAAAATAGAGTAGATTTCTAAGAGGACAATTGTCAATAGTTAAAACAACAAAAATATTATTTCTGGCAGATGATAGAAGGGCACCATTATTTTCTGCGGCTACATCTTTATAGTTTCCCCTAATAGTTGATTTTTATCTTAAATCATATAAATCTTGTTAAGTATATTTCGCATTTGCATTTGAAGCTGGAAAAGTAGAGAAATCCGAATACTTCAAAAGCAATATAAGAAGGAAATATTTTATTCAAATTTTTTAATAACAAGTTCACTCAAAAGTTAAGAATACGATTATAAAAAGATTTTTCATCAATTTAATAAGGAGGCTTATCAATTAGTAAAGAGAGATCCTATATATAATGATGTGTATTCTATTGTAAAATACATAAAATTACTTAATACTCATTTAAATACAGGAAAAATTACGGTATTACTATTAAACTGTTTTTGGTGAAAGCTAAAATGCGATTGATTATGATATTGAGTGTGAGAGATATTCTTAAGAATTTTTCTAATTATGCTTACATTATAACAATTAATTTACCATTTTTCATGTTACAATGAACAAAAAGGTTAAATTTAATAAATATATAATGCATTGAGTGTCCTGATGATTATGCTCTATGTAGAATTAGAACAGATTAAGAGATTACTTTAATTAATCCTCTTTTTCAAATTTAGAAATATTTAAAATATTCTATTAATTTTTGAAGAATTTTGAAAATTAATATTAATATGATGAATATTTAGGTTTATTTCAAGAGAGTTTATAACACAAAAATGGTTATGGATGCTTTAAATAATTAATTATAGAATTTAATTTATCTACCTATCTTACTTTATATGTAAAAGACTTAATTCATAAGAAGATGAATACGCTAGAATAAAATTCAAAAGAGAAAATTTATTTTTAGAATACCTTGTTGATACAGATATTGGGGCAGAAATGTATATGATATAATTTATTATTAGTTTTAAGTTGAACAGTTTTATAGATAGTTTTTACTAAACTGTTTGTGTAATTGATATTAAGACAAATGCTCACAGATTTATATTTAAAAAAACCTTATCCTAATAATAGAATTGTCTAAGTTAATCTTATGTAAATTTGAGTGAACTATAAATCTATTTTGCAAAAAATAACCAATAAAATTTAGAAGTAAGATTCAACAAAAATTACACATGGTTTTGATGTAGATTTTAGAATGAATAGAAATAGAATATTTAAAAAATTACAAATATGTTTCAATTAAATGATGTTGTTGATGATGAAAAGTTTTTTTTAGATTGTCAGTTTAGAGAGAAACATTTACAAAAAGATAAAATTTATAATAACAATTAAATAAACAAATAAACTGATCAATTTATTTTAAGAAACATAATCTAATTTAAATTAAGATTGAACTTTCTTATATTTACACTGATAAAATAGAAATTATACATTTTTATCAAAGGGTAACAAATCAATTTAATTTAATTAATAATTGATATAATATGCTTTTCGTATATATATTCATCCTAAATTTTTACCTAAAATTGTACAATTAGCCAAATAACCTTATCCCTATTTATTTTAGAATTAGCTATTACGAAAATTACTTTAATTAATTTATTAATTTCTTTGTTAAGGAACATTTTTGCATGATTAACTTCTTCCAACATATTATGATGAATTTTTCTATTATTGGTAATATTATTAATTGGATAATGAAATAGACTTAGGAAAGGAAGCCTCTAACTTTTTTTGAGTAATATTCTGATATTAACTAAATATATATTTATTACTCAATACTTTGCTTTTAATTAGACATCATTGAATGATGGCACATTATAGTGATTCGAAGATGTTATTTAATTAATCCTTTAATCAATTAATTACATTGATTACACAGTTTAGGCTACAACATTTTAATTAAAATTAGGAGTTATACTGATATGTTCAAGTTATTGAAATGCGCTTTTAACATTATCAGACAGACTATTAATTTTATACGTTTAAAGATATTAAGAGTTTCTTATTTCTGAAGGTAGATGAGATATAAAATCTAAAACTTTTTTCCTCTCCTATTTGATAAATTATTAATGTTATTTGCTTATATATTTTGACTATAAATCTTGATGAAGTGTATTTGATAAATTTAGTTAAGCAACAATTTTATTTCTGCTCAAAGCAACCACTTGATTATTTGGATCATTTTCAAAATAGTTTTAAACAGTAATTAAAGAATAAATCAAGTTTATCAAGTTCTGATAATCTTCAAAAATATAATATTGTATTAAAGCTGAATCCTAGAGTTATTCTTATTTAAATAATTATTTCTAAGCCTGCCTTTGATTCTTCTTAGTTTCCAATTAATTTTCGTAATTAGAAAATTATGAAGGTCTATACATTAATTTTTATTTTGACACTTTGCTTTTTACTTAAGACAATAAAATTTATTTAATAGAATAAAATTTTATTCTATTATTTAAATATTTGTATATATTTATATATACAGAATTCAATTATTGCTTTTATTTTATGCTTTTTCTAAAAAACCAAAATTAAGAAACATTTCGGATTTGAATTTATGTATTTAAAATTTAATTTAATTTAGATCAAGATGATGTTATTTTTCTTACAACTATGATTATTTAAAATTTTGAATCTATAGGTTGTATTTTATCTACAAGATAATTGTAAAATTCAGAATAATATTGCTCATCCTATGAATCACTCTCATTAAAATTTTTTTATGTTTACTTAATTTTATTCTTCTTTGTAAATAGAATCGTAAAATCCTTACGATCAAACAAATTAAATTATGTTAATATGTGTAATTAATCATTAGTTTTTTATAGTTCCACAATTTTTATTCAACAAAATTTTGATTACAAATTTATTCTGCTTAATAGCATCCTCATGATTTGGATTATAGTTTTCGTTTAGGTGATTTTTTTTTCTTATAGTTTTCTTTTCAGCCTTTAAAGCTTATTAGGATTTTAACTTTACTTTGAAGAGCTTTCTATAAATACTGTCACACATTATTGTAATGTTCTTAGAGATTAAAATGACACAATTTACATTTAATAATTCATCTCAATAAATATCCTCAATAAAAAATAATTTATTAAGAATTCCGAAT